TTGCTGCAAGTCCATTTGTGGGCAACTAGCATCATCAAGCAGTACGGGTTTGGGAACAGTGTTTTTTGGTGTCGCTTGGGCCCGGCAATGCAGTCATCTCAGGACTTCTATAGTCAGGCCGCTGGTTATAAGTATAGGTATACCTAAAGTGTAAGTTGGATATATCTAGTTTGCAACTGTACTTATAAGTGCTAACTCCCTGTAAGTTCCCGTAAGTAAAGTTATGAAAAGTTAAAAAGTTAGGACCTAGTTAGCGAACAACATTTTACCAACAGTTTTTGGTTGTGTTTTTAATGTTCAATTTTGCTACATATATAAGCGGTTTTTACCGCATTTTCGTTGGACTTGCGGTCTTCACCGAGATGCCCGGCCCGAGTGTATATAGCTCAGTTTTTGTGTGTAGCTCATTTTTTGGGAGGCATGCGTGCAAGGCAAGCATATACTGTAACATATATCATGTTTGTTGAAACAGGCATGTTGTTTGCACACTGTATTTATACCTGACCTGCGTTTTCATGCCTAGATTCTAGATGCCGGCACCTGCGTGGGTGAAGACCTTGCAAGCAACCAGCAGCTTCATAGGAAATTTGAAAGGTTTGCAGACCGTGTCGAAAGTTGAAGCTCAGCAGGTGGATAAATTGCGTGGCCAACTGGAGGGCAGAGACAAGTGGTCAGCTGAAGACTGCAGCATGGCTGCAGAGGAAATCCATCGGACAGTATTGCAAGAATCTTCAAAGCAGCTGCTTCTCGAAGGCATCGCTCAAAAGCTTAGTCGGGGTCAGGGCTGTGTTCAATCGCAGAAGAACCGCCAGAAGCTCCAAGACTACGTGAACATCGTTTATTTCTTGAAGAGTTCTTTCTTGAAAAAGATAGTGGAGCTTGAATCACTGTCCCAAAGGCTCGATGCTGTCATGGAATTTGCTGTGCAGCTAGGTATGAAGTCGCCTACAGAAGCCACACTGGGTTGTTTGACTTGTATTGCCTACTGGCCTGAGTGGAGGAGTTGCGCTCCCAGCATGGTAGACCGAAGTTCCGCCCATCAGGAATGGAAATTGTATCTTCGCCGTGCATTGCAGTACAACCTCAAGGTTATTGTCTTGTCCCCGGATGTGATCTTGGAAAGCTTGCCGCAAACTGTAGAGGAGTTGCCCGATGAGCTTCGCAATATTTAAGGGCTGCCGCCCCTGCCGCCGACCCCGGGACTCATCAAGGAGCAGGAGTACTGCAGCTTGCACTCGGCAAAAAGCTATGAAACAAACCGATCAAATTGGACGGGTTGTTCAACAGTTGAAGCAGGTACACTTCAGAATGCAATAAATTACTGTAAAGCTTTCAATATTCTCACGATGGCTGGCGACAAGACCTACGATCAAAATGGAAACTTGACGGCGGCATTCCAGAACCAGGCTGGAAAAACGCCGGTGTGAGATTTGAGGATTGATGCGATTAGTGATGAGTGTTGGAGATGGACATTTGAAGTGAACCTGTTTGTAGACGATGGTCCTCTAAATCCATGCTGGCCATGCCACCCACTTCCAGGATTGTTTCAGTGAGTGGTTATGGAGCTGTTCTGCAACTTTGGCCCAGACGCTGCGCCAGTCCAAAAAAGGCTGCGACATCTCAGACTTGAGAATCGCAGGCTTCGGTCACAGTGCAAGTGCATATAGCAACATGATGCAACATGCAGGAGTGGCAGCCAGACCAGTTGCAAACGGATAGAATTGCGGTTGGTCCGCAACCACAAACGAACAAGAAACCCCTGAGAAAGACGTCATCTGGAATAAACTACCGGAATATATTTTTGTGCGCTTTCACACGCGCACCGAGTGGCAGCTCCCGGGACTGACAGAAAAAAACGTTTTCCCCGTCGGCGTCGCGCGCAAGCCGTGGTACTTGGACGCAGGCCGCGCCAACCCACAACTGAAAGTAACGCGCGGTCAATTCCCACTGGCGCCCGATTTCGCCGGGACAACGCACGCCTTA